GCCTCCTGCACAATCTGGACCGGGTTCGCTGTGATGGGCGTCACAACCAGAAGCCTAGAGTCCAGCTTCGACATAGTCAGAATGTCGTCCACGATCCGTTTCTGATGTTGAGCGCACAAAATGATGGTTTCGGCGTTCTCGATTCCGTTGTTTATAAGTTCGGCCGCATCGGTTACATGGCCCTCAACAGTCTTGCCCCTTGACGGGACCGCCCCCACGGTCGAGCGCAACTCATGGAGAGCTGGGGGTGGAGTCAAGGTCCGCTCCAGCTGCTGGACCTTGGCTAGGGATGCGATGACCGCATCGGCGCAGTGTATTATAGCCGACAGCGGATTCCGCATCTCGTGGGACGTTATATCTGTTGTCCTCATAGTCAGCAGCCGGGATACATCAACCGCAAGGACGGTGGGTTATACATGAGCGAGAGGAACAATAGCCGAGCGTGGTGACTGTGGGCATGAAAAGAAAAAGAGCTGGTGCGGGACTGACCTATAAAGCTCTCTTGCTGACGCTTTGACTCAATGGCATCCTCCTTGCGCTGCCGCTCTCGCTCGAGCTGCCATTTTTGCATGCTGATATCAGAAATGCAGCCAGTAAAAGACCGCACGAGTCCATCCGAACTCCGGACCGGCAAGAAGGTCGCCGAGACCCAGCGAGGGGCCACGATCCGCATCGCCTTGTCCTCGGCCGTCCACGGTTTCTTGAACCGCAGCTCGGCTGTCTGCTGCTTGCCCTCACTGAGGAGGAGAGACAGTGTCCGCTCGAGTAGGGGGAAGTCTTCGGCAACAACGCATTCGTGGAGAGGCTTGACGACAGGGCCGCCGTCGGCGGCGTCGACGGACCGCCTGCCCACACCGCACATCTCGTAGAAAACGCGATTGGCCCCGATCAATCGACCTTCCAGATCCATGTCGTACATGCCCACTGTCGCGAACTCGGCCATGCGCTTGAGATTCTCGGCCTGTTGTGCACGTCTCACGGCCTCGTCTGCGACTTTCTTTTGGGCCGTGACGTCGGTCAGACAGGTCAACATCCGAATCACATCTCCGTCGGGCGACCGCTCCGCCTTGGCCGAGGCGAGTACGTGACGCTCATCCGCCGGCATGCCCTCAAGCCCGACCAGGTTCAAGCCGGCCTTCTCAAAGCTCGGCGATGACGACGATGACGCTGCCCCCTCGTCCTCAGATGTGTCGTCTTCGCGTCTCTTGACCCGGAATTCAAACGTCGCGTTCTTCCCACTGCGGACCTCTTCATATGCCCGCAATATGTTCATCCGGTCCTCAACCACGACACGGGAGAGGAAATCTTCCGAGGTGACATAGCTGCCACTTGACTCTAGGTCGGGTGTCTCTTGTCTCTCAACGCCAGTGATGCGAAACCACGCATCGTTTGCAAAAGTCACGTTCCCCTGCGCATCCCCAAAGCACATACCCACAGGGGTAAATTGTGCCACGGCCTCGAACCGCCTGATGAACTCGGTCGCCTCCTTGGTACGCGCATCGAGCTTTTCCTTGAGCATGGCTTTGTCGTACGCCGCTTGTTCGGCGGCGTTCCTACCACGCCACTCTTCCTCTTGGAGCAGGACAGTCGAGGCCAGAGACGTTGTCAGCTTCTGGTTGAGTAGAGAGATGTACTGGCGATACCCGTTGTCGTATGGGCATCGTGGGTTCAGGCCCAGAACCAGGAGTCCCATAACGTCCTAGTGGTGTTTTTCCCCCGCCGAGTCAGCAATTCGCATTTTACTCTAACATAGGGACTTGCAAACTCTCACGGCAGATGCACTCACCTCCTCTTTTGTTGGCCTGATGGGGATCACCAGCGCGTCCCGGCATGGGTCACCAAACCCGCGCCAGTTCAGCCCATCCTGAAGATGCAGGGGAAAGCTGCCGTCCGCCGTGCTGATGGATATTGGCGCAAATTCATTCATTGCGCGTCTGAATGCGGTAGATAGCCCCTCGTCGCTGGTCCGAAGGTTGAGCAAGGGTGGGTTGAGCTGGTGGCTGTTGGGAACCCCGAGAGAACCCTCCAAGTGGCATATCTTGGTTGAATCATAGAGACCAGGGACAGACTCGAGCTCGGCGTCGGTTCCCTCGTGAACAGAATACAGGATGGCGAGCGGTATGTCGAATCGGGGCTCAACGGCCTCGAGATTCTCCAGCGTCTTGTTCCAGTAGGCCTTGACATTCCTAGCCGTCACCAGCACGTCTCCCAGGTCGATCAGCATCTTCATACGCCTCCCCCACAGCCGCATGGACGTGGTTTCGGTGACCGAGTGCATGAAACCCAGAACCTCGTTGTTCTCGGTGATGGGTATTATGGACCACTTGAGGTAGATCTCGCGCAGCGTCCCATCCGCGTTTTCGACGAAGCAGCCAAGATCTTCGTCGTCGGTGACAGACCGCTGCTTGAGTGCACTCTCGCGCATACTACCGCGGAGCCACTCGCGCTTGTCCGGCCAGATATCGACTATGGGCTTGCCCAGAACCTGTGGGTGACGACAGCCACACAGCCGGCTGAATGCCTCATTATATATCGTTATGTGTTCGGGGCCCCAACTAATCGCGATGGCGCGGGAGTCGACAAGCATCTGGCTGAAGGTTTGGTGCAGTCGTGGATGCCAGGCCGGCATGCCGCCAAGGGGTGTCGACGCCCAGTCGACATTGTTGATAATGTCAAGAAACGGCTCCTCCTGATTTGTGACAAACATTGGCACCATCCAGCCGCGGTCAAAGGCATCGCTATCGGTTCTTGTCTTGCCGTTGCTGCTGCTGCTGCTGCTGCTACTGCTGCTGGGATGGTTGGGCCCAACGGCAGGTTCCGAATTGATTCTTCGAAAATGCGCTTCTGATTGCTTCATCAACGAGGTGCGGCTCTGCGTCGGGGAGAAAGGGATCCTAGCACCCTGTGTGAAGCTGGTGGACGAAAACCCGCTGGTCTCCCGAGACGGTGGACTTGGAGAGTGCAGGAGTTGCGCGCTACAGCTGACAACGGCCCATCGTTTCCTCAAGACATAGCGAGTCCAGCAAACACCTCGGAAGGGAAGGGAGGAGGAATCCCCAGGGGTTGGTGTTTGGATCCATTCCCAAAACTCGTCGAGTGCCCCAGATGGGGGGCCGGATAAGGCGGACGTGAGGGAGGCGTTGTCGAGCAGAGCAGCATTACGATACGCGATACATGTTTGCTGTCGAGACCGAAGGTCCAAGGGCGGCAGGCCGGACTGGTCCAGGTCGAAAACGAACGACGGTCTCGGGTCCGCCTCCAACAACTCAATGATGCCGACTCCCTCGAGCTGGTTGTGTTCCCCCATTATTCCCAAGTACGATGAGGCTTGGGCCTCGCAAAACAGAGGTAACCAGCCCCGAACAAAGTCGACCGAGCAAACAGAATCGGGAGAGTTTCAGTGAGCAATAACATGAGCGGAGAGGAAGGGTGAGATCCCCTCGGAAAGGCCCCCTGGGGTGCGTGAGCTGTGATTTTCCTGTGTTGACGACTAAAAAGAAGAGTTTCCAATGGTGACGGGTTGCATGCAGACGCTGCAGGCGAAAGCTAAACAGCCTGGCGCGCCAAGCAACGGCTTGAGGCAGCCCCAAAGGAACCGCTAAGACTGCGGGAGTGCCGCCAGACGGAAGCGGCAAGCGAGTAAGCGTGTGAACGCGCGAGTGGACGACACTTTCCACTCCTGTGGGTACGGGGGCCAACAGCGGGGGCTTTTTCCAAGGTCAGGAAACGATATCTCCTCGCCTCGCGTAGATCCGAGGTTGGCCAAGTTGCCAGTCCAAGGACGCCCACTGGATGCGATTCAGATGAAGCCTCGCTAGTTGAGTTCGGCTGAGCAGCCCATGGCGACGCTCAGTTGCGGGTGTCCAGATGTCCGGGGTCCAGGGGTTAAGTAGGATGAAATCGGAGAGGATCGACCGGGATCGCAGCAACCTGGCAGGGGAATAGGAAAAAAAAAAGTGCGGGTGCTCCTCGACGAACAGGAACAATGTCGTTGTCTCCTCGGGACTGGCTGTCTTTCTTGACAGGTGTCACATCAGCAGATTAAAGGAAATGTGCAAGTGGCCAGCAAAAACGGTCGGAAGGCTGGAGCGGCAGCGTGGCGAAGGCGTAGCTGGTCGATGCAAGGGGGATGCGAGGGAAGACGAAAAAGAAGGTGAAGAGGGGATGCGAGTTTTCATTTTACTGTGGGCTAGGACAATGGGATTTTAGCTGCCCAGCATCGAGATCTCAGGTTCAACCGGGAGAAACCGATGGGGAAGGCTTGGGGCAGCCCTGGAGGAGATCAATTTGCAAATGGGCATCTGCGGGCTTTAGGGCGCCGCGCTAGGACACTGGGGCCAGCCTCCAGCGTGCCACCACCGTCGTCCAGGGGCATCTCTGGCTCGGACGAACTTGTTCCCCGTCAGCCAATTGGGACGGATGGATGCACTGTTGCCAAATGGTCGTCAGCGAAATGGGAAATTCCGAATGCTGATCTCCCACCCGCCTGCCATCTGACCTGACTTGTCCCAAGCCTCTTCGCCGCTGCCGGGAGGCATGTGGCCGTCGAGGGAAGTCGAAAAATAATAAACAGTCGCAAGAACACATCTAGAAAGGATGTCGAAAAGTTTGGCTAAGCCTCAACTTCGTAAGGACGGACGTAGAGAAAGGCCCAATTTCATCTCCATGCCGTGACGCCTTCAAGTGCCAACAGTGGGCAGTCGTCGTGATCAGCAGGCCGTGCAGAGCTGAAAAATCATGATGTCAGAGTCTGCATCCCGCCCCAGTATTTTCAAGCCAGGAACCAACGTGCGTGCCTCGGCTCGGCGTTCGGCCAGTGGGCGTTGAATGGATTTTTTCGCCCCCCAGCCCCACGGATGTTAAAAAAAATCTTTCCATTTACGCTTGAAGAAAAAAAAACCAAGTTTACTTACTCGAAGCACAGGGTCACATTAACAAAGGGAATAAGGAAAATGAAGGGGAAAAAAAGAGGGCACAATGAAAAAAGAAACCATTTACTAGGCCGCAACCGGGGATTGAACCCGGGACCTCTCGCAATTATTGAACAGGCTGGGCAAGCCAACTGTTACAACTCAGGGTGAGCCCTAAGCGAGAATCATACCACTAGACCATCGCGGCGGGGTTGATTGGGTGAAATTTTGCACGGAACCCCGCTATTATATACACACCTGTCAAGCGAATTGTATCGGCGGATATTTAGGATCAGAACATCATCTGCACCCTTCGATAAAAATCAGCCTGGAAGCTATGTGATCTAGCCAACCAGTTCCATGTCGGAACACCAAAGCCGTAGCATCCTCTTCGCAGCATGAGCTTGGTGCACAGCAAGATATTCTAGGTCAATAGCGAGTGTTTCGACGCAAACTTCACTGATCTAAGACATAATAATCATACAAGTCTTGAGCCAGACAGCTCCTCCGTCCAGATAGAACAAAAAAGAAAGAAAGAAAACTCCGAAAAGCCTCTCCCTTTAAACTCAATCCTCCAATCTATCTCACCAATCTATCCCATCCTCCGTTTTCAGACTCTCCCCGTCACCGACCTGATGCTCCTCGATTGCGCGTGGCCGCCAAGATCGGAGCTGGTCTCGCAACTATATTGACCTGTTTCGTGGATAACACCAACTAATAGGGCGACAGGTGGGATATTGTTAGACACCGAAAAGCAATACTCCTCCTTTACACCCCTTGTCCCCCCAGCCGGGAATAAAACCGGCAAACTTTTGACAGTCCTCCCATATCGCAAAATCCATAACCATGATGTGTCCAAAGCACTCGAATGGGCAGTAGCCTCCCGAGCGTAGGATTTCGGGTGATTTGTAAACTTAGTTGCTGAGGAAGATGTTCGTAAAACGCAATTCTCATATGCTCTCGGGGAACTTGATGACCCAGACGATCGACGGAAATTTGGCAGTGTGTGGTGGTGACTCGAAAAGAAAGAAGAAAAACAGGGTAAGCCGGCGTCGCGAGGACCCCCGACTGATGGTAGTACAACGCCGCCTGCTGCCCCGTCGACAGCTGGGAGGTCGGCTGGAAGATCAGTGCGGGTAGTCAAGCAAAATTAGTCGGGCGAGGCGAATACACTCAGATAACGCCGAAGCGCCACGCGGGCCCGGCAGCCTTAGCGGTAAACACTGCCGTAACGGACGCTGGGAGGCATGCGCCCCATCGAAGGGCCAACACCCGGGCCAGGCCTGGTGGCCACGGCGGGGTTGGTGCAGAGCATGCCGACCCTGGACCCGAACTTGGAGCCACGGAGCGAGACCATGTGCTTGCGGATGTGAGCCGCCACAGTCTCACGGTGCTGCGGGTTCGCGTGGGTGAGGATGTACTGGATCAGATAGTTGCCGTACTGGTCGCTAGCAATATCAATCAGGGGGATTCGGGGGCGGTCGACACGCCCCTCGCACACTCGGTCGAGATATTTGGTCAGGAACTCGGGGCCGCCAATTTTCAGACACTTCTCCACGACCTTGGAGGCGAACTGGTCCATGCTGTACTCGGCGGCGTAGCGGATAACATGGTCAACGGCGCGGCCCCGGTCCGCAGGAGCGCCGTGCTCGCAGATGTGCTGGATGCACCAGTTTCCGAACTGGCCATGGGCAACAATGTCGATGTTGGCAAGAACCTCCTCGATGCAGGGCCGCTGTGAGAGTTGGGGGGTTAGTCTGGAGATGAGCCTTGTGTGGGGAGGCGGTGGAGAAGGGGATGGAATGCGCGTACTTTGTCGTCCTCCAGACAGTTTTCAAATATATTCTGGACAACCAAGCTTCCAGTCTCGCCCAGGGCAACCTCATGCCACATGCCCCGTAGAGCCTCGTTGACATACTTCATGATCTGCGGCGGCGACTCAGTCCAGCGCAGCTCAAACAGCTTCTGCCAGACGTGACAGGCATAGCGATGGATGACGGTCTCCGGGATGCGCCGAAGCAGTTCGCCGACCATGATGGCCTTGTAGTCCTCGGGGACCGAGTCAAAGGCCTTCTGGACAACGTGGCAGCCGAAAGGGTCCATGGATAGGTTCAAAGTATTGCCACGGATGGCTTCGGCAATCTTGATGACCTGCTCTGGAGTCCCGTGCTCGAAGCAGCGCTGCACGAGGAAGTTACCGAATCGGTTGACCATGAGAGGATAGGCCTGGGCCACAATGGCCTCGACGATCTCATACTTTTGCTCGGGCGTGCCGACCTTGAGCTTCTGTTGCAGGAAGATGGACGCCTGCTGGTCATTGTTGCAGACGATCTTGTCGACAATGTACTTCCAGTTGCAGTTGACGTTGCGATCCAGAAGACGACGGTAGTTCAGCGGCTCCGTGGTAGGCAAGTACGTCTGACCTTCGGTTGCCACGGGCTGGAGAGAACGATCAAGTCAGCCCTCTGTGATTCGGAGAGGATGGCTTGAGGGGGACTTTTGGTGTGTTGCTACTTACGTCTGGCTTCCAGGCCGCGCCAGCGCCGGATGTGAACTCAGTGGCATGGGGGGACAAGGGGGTGCCGATAGGTGGCTGCGGATAAGGTTGGTGCAAGCCGCTTGGTCCCGAGTTGGGCATGACTCCCGGCTGTCCGCCATGGAAGCCAGCAGCGGGCTCATAACGGTTGAGGTTCACATTATATCCGCCTCCAAACCCAGGACCGAAAGGTTGGGGTGAACCAAACCGGTTGTCGTAGCGATGGTTGCGGCGACCAGACGCAGGACGCATTCCTATGTCATCATCGGGGACAAAGCGGTCTCCATGGAAGCTATCCATAGCGGGTGGGCCGTAAGGCGCAGCACAAGCATCGGCAGTGAAGCCTCTACCCCCCATCCAAGGGCCGGACTGGGTGGGGTCTGGCAGCGACGGCGGCTGCGGTTGGAGGAAGCTGTTCTGAAAGGCGGGCTTGGCCGATGCCCAGATGCCTCGGGTCCGACCAAAGCCTCCTCCGTTGGACATGGTGTCGCTGGTATCTGAGGGAGAATCGTCTTGCACCGGCCAGGCGGTCTCGTGCAGGTAGGTAGCCTTGGTGATTTTGTTACCAGACATGCCAAGAATAGTGGACTTGGCGGTAGGCCCTTCCCCCTGACCTAGAGCGACGCTGGCGGTCTCGGGAGCCAGAGAGCGCTGCTGGCAAAGCTCCTGGTCCAGGCGCGAGATCTCGTTTTTAGCCTTGGCAAGCTCGAGCTTGAGGCGGAGAACCTCGTCGCTGTTTGCGGCGTGGCTATCGAGTGTGGCGCTGGCAGGACGAGTCGCTGGGGTAGTAGCCGTGAAGTTGTCAGTCGCCGGCGTGATCGGCAGCGAGCTGCAGGAAGACTGAAAATCCAGACTGTGCGGGTGACCGTGCTCGTCGTCAGTGAGCGTCTTGATGGCCTCGCTCTGATCACTGCCAGGAGAATGCTGCTCAGACAGCCTCGACAGCAGCTTTTCCATCGGGGACGGCTCGGACGCAGAGGAGGCCTCGTGGTTGATCTTGGTTCTCTGTCGTCATCAGATTAGCCCTTGCGTGAGGGACGAGGTGTGAGCATGGGGTGGGTGGAGAACTACCTACCTTGGGCAGACCCTGGTTGAGAAGTTTGGATGTAGTCAGGGCGCTGACGGATTTCTTCAGCGTAGCATGGCTGCTGGGCCCCTACAGAAACATCGCCGTTAGCTTCCTTTGGTCATTTGTGTGGGGCTGCTTAGGTCTGCCCAGCTGGTTTGATGAGGAGGGGACGCAGAAAAGGTGAATGTGCAGGTGAAAGTGAAGACACGGTGAATCGAATATGAGCCTGGGCAGGATGGTTGACGGTTCGAGACAGGATGGATGGCGCTGAAGGCGGAGCCAATGAAGTCCAGCAGAAAAGTCGAGACAACACGAAACGCACCTGGAAGAGCTGATGGATGCCCGTGGAGTCATCGGAGAACTTGTGGTTCTCGTCGTTAAGGGAGCTCTTGGTCACCGACGACTGGCGCTGAGACGGAGGACTGGGCCTCGCCGCCGCGGCCGTGGCGGACATGTTGCTTGCGGGCGATGGCGATCTGCGGAGCTCCAACTAGTCAAGGGCCAGGAGCATTAAGTGCAGGATAATAGTAAATTTCGGATGATATGGCAAAGATGCCTCACAGATCAAGACAAAGGAAAGTGGAGGGCTTCCTTGTGATGGGAGTGGGTGGGAGACCGTGTCTGCTGAGATCGGTCTGTGGTTTGTTGCGGGTGGGAGGATCGAGCAGGGAGTGGACGCGGCCAGGTTTTTTTAGCCTGCCTCTTTTTACAGGGAGATGAGGTAAGCAGAAAGAGAAGGGAAGGAAAAAGAAGACATCAAATTCGGACCTTCCACGGCAGTTGCGAGGTGGGGACAGAGGGAGAGCTTCCTGATTGCCTCCATGTGAGAGGGCGGGCGGTAGGTGGTGGTGTGGGACGGATGTCCAAGAAAGAGACGGCCGCGCCTGCTACTTAGGAGTACCGGCGGTCGTTAGGTGCAAACAGACCCCGTCTGGCGGAGATTCCAAACTCGGGTGCCTTCCACGTGCTGATTCCGACCCTCCAAATGCACCTGTTCAGTCGAAGCGATGGATGCGTCGCCTTATCAGGGCCCAAGATGGGGAGTGAAGAACGGGAAGGCCCGTTCTTTGTCGTCTGATCTACCTACCAGGTAATCTGGAGATAGCTTTTCCTTCACAGATCGTAGGTGCTAGTTTGTCCAAATATTGTCTACCTACCCGTATCTAATAGCTGCCGGGCACCGGCTGCACCTGCCTAATCGGCAGGGGAGCTTCTATTGGACCTCCAGATTGGAACATGGCCGACTTAATCATAGAAAACCTACCTACCTGTTCGGTACACCTCCCCTAGGCTTTGGGTACAGCATATGTTGTCCCTGGCGCCGGCTGGCTCTGTCCATCATATACCCGGGCTGTACAGCATGCGGCGATAGCGGCCGAGGTACAGAACCAAGCCCAGGTACGAGCATACCTATATATCCGGCGATTGCCTTCAAAGGTCATTAGCGGACACTTGCTGTGCTGTATCGCCGTCGACCCCCAATGGAAAGTGCAAGCCTTTATTTATAAAGCCACCTTCCGTAGGCATCATCCAAGAGCAACGCCAGTGTTGCCTAGTGTTCATTTCCGTCTGCGGGTCAAGCGCGAGGACCTTTTAAGGAAAT